TTTTTTTTTTTTTCTTTTAAATATAAACTTTAAATCAGAAATTTAATTTTAAGATATTTTCTTTCAAAAATACTCGGACAGATCACTCGACTGGTACAAAAGAGGTTAGAAAATATCTCTTCTGAAAAAAATACGAACCTTATTATAAAATTAGAATTATATTCCGAAAACCTATTTTTATTTTCTCTCTGTAACACTCGAATATCACTGAATTTAATTACAAAAGAGGATCACGACGGAAAAGAGGTTAGAAAACATCATCTCAAATCTTAATACGCGAAACGTCATCTCTTTTTTAGAAAAATATAAACCTTAAATTAGAATTACACTCTGAGAACCTACTTTTAGTTTCTTTCAGAAACAACTGGAATACGCACGAGTCACTAAGTTACGAAAGAGGGTCACAGATGTAAAAGAAGTTAGGAAAAACATCGTTCCGAATCTTAATAACTTGCTTTCTTAATAATAAACGAAACAAATATCTTATTTTCCTTTTTTTTTTACAAGTACACGAAACTTAAATCCCGAATTATATCCCGAAAAATCTCTTCTTTTCGAGGAAACACTCGAATATCGCGGATCACTCGACTATCGGACAAAGGAGAGTCACGACGGTTAAAAGAGGTTAGAAGAAGCAGCGTTCCGAATCGTAACCTTAATACGTGCGACGTTATCGACGCATCGTCGCTCGGTTTTCTCGTTTATTCGAATTCGCGCAATCGCGTTGGCGGAACTGAAATGTTAAACCACGCGTGTTCACACCCGATTTCACAGCTGGCAATCCTATTTTCACGAATCGAACCGGCGTTTCCACGTTCCAATACATTCGACTCGAGAATCGAAAGACGGTCGATTTATTAATCACGATTAAAACCGCGCACGGAACGTGTCTGCGTCGCTCGAATTACGACACCTAGTGGCAATAGCGACAATCGTAATTTCCTCGATTAATTATCCCCGTCAACGATCGATTAATTACGCTTCCCCCGTTATTAAGAATATTCAGCACGAATGGAAATTAAGAATGGAGAGAAGAAGATGCTTTCTGGAAGGAATCTATTGAAGTTTCGAGCGATTTTTCGATCTTGAAAAAGCGAATAACGAAGCGTGGGAAGAATAATTTCCTCTTTGCGTGTAATGATTTATTATCTCTGATTAGAGATCGATACTTTTTATTCGTTCAAAATTTTTGAATGAACTGGAAAATAAAGTCCACTTCTGTTTCGAATCATTATGGATATTAATTTTTAATAATGCATGGAAAACAATCGTGCAATGACAATAAATTTTCCCTCTTTCACGTTTCTTATAGAAAAAGTATTCATAGCCTAATCCAATCTAACATATACCTATATAATCTACGTTGACCAATCGACGAAAAGTGATCAGAGAACTGATCTCAACGCTGTAAGAATAAATCTCGATCGGTTTTCGAGTTTCATCGAGCAAGATTTTCGCAATAAGATTTCCGTCTCGTTCGATCCAGTCTGATTCGATCCACACGATCGGCCAGCTCCTATCCGATTACGCGCGATCTGTCAGTGGCAGCGGAATCGATTTCCGTCCAGGAAGTCTGGCTTCGATGATAATCGAACACGTGCCGCCGTTCACATCTTTCCTTCCTTCGTCTCTTCGTTGGGCCACCAAGAAACTTTCTTCTTGGTGGAAATTCGACTTGAATGGAGAACCCAGATACGACTCGAGTCTCCAAGACTCGTTTAAGGCTCTTTTGTCGGGTATGCTTCTCTTCTAGAATGGACGGCAAGATCGAAACGAGAGAATTGTCGATATTTAATCGTCTTTTGGAGAAATGGGGCGAGCATGAAAACGTCGAAGAATGGAATACAATTTTTGCAGGATAGAATATGTGTCAGGGGACTCGATATCGGGAATCGATCTGAATTTTTCGAGAATTTTTACAGGGATGGAATACCTTGGATAACTTTGGAAAAAAAAAAAATTCTGAGGAAGAAAGAAAATCTTTGTCTCCCGACAAACGCGTTTTTGTTCGTTGATTAAAAGTCTCAAAATATTCGAAATATTTTGCTGCGGGAATCTTCGAAGGGAACGATATCGAGCACAAAGGAAAATAGTAGATATTGTACAGGGAGAATGAATAGAATCTATTCAATGGATCGATCCGCGTTTATGTCACGTTCTCAGCTGTGTTTACTATATTCTATAATACCTCACGATCGAATTTCATTTTGTGATTCGTTCCAATTCTTATGGAATAAGAATAAATTATAATTATAATTAAGAAATTATATTATAAAATTATATTATAAATAAATATAAATATAATATTATAAATTATATTATAATTAAGAAAATATACGATTTCGTTAATACGATTAATCGAGCAATAGTTTAAAAATCTGTCGTAAGAGGTTTTGGAAATCGATCGTCTGGTGGTTTAAGCGGAAGTCGCAAGTCGAATGGCATCCTCTCGAAACGGGACGAGTTTCAAAGCGTTTCTAGCTCAAGTTCGGCGACAAGTTTGAACGGTGTGAACGCATGGTTTACATGGAAATCTGCAATCTCGTCACGCGGTATCAAAGGGCGGCGCAGACGTTGCGCGCCTATCTGTTCGACACGGAATACCGATTTTTTTTCCTGCGAAAAACATCAAAGAACGCCCAATGAAATTGCACGCTTTGGTCGAAGCCCACCTTTCGATACCGATATCGCGATCAAGTTTCTCGTTTCAAGATCGTGCAAGTTGTTGCACGGAATAATATTACGGGAGGATTTATAGGAGAATAAAAGAAAAAATTTTTAAATAGTCGATATAAACGAATTTAATGAAAATTTAAACGTTAGAAGGATAGTTGACGAAATTTTAATATATATATTGAGGAAATGTTGCAAGTTTCAAGATGTCATGATCATTGTAGAAATAATGTTATGGGAAGATTATAGGAAAATAAAAGAAAAAATCTTCAAATATAAATGAACTTAATAAAAATTTAGATTTTAGAAGAATGGTTGATGGAAATTTTAATATTTAGAAAATTTTGCAAGAAAATATCGCAACCAAGTTTCAAGATGTTGATCATGGAATTGTAGAAAAGTTGGAACAATATAATGGGACGATTATAGATAAATAAAAAGAAAAAATCTTCAAATATTCGATATAAACAAATTTAATGAAAATTTAGATTTTAGAAAATATAGAAAAATAAAAGAAAAAATCTTCAAATATATTTGATATAAATG